CTTGGGGACACGTCTGGGGACACGTGGCCTTGGGGACACGTCTGGGGACACGTGTGACATTGGTGACACAGGTGACGTTGGGGACAAGGACGAGGCCGGGTGCCACGAGCCAACGACTTTATTGGGGACACTCAAGTGCCACTAATTGTCCCTAATTGTCACACCCCCCCGTCACCAGATCCCTGCTCGTAGACGCTGTCGGATCCCGTTCCGGAGCTGAGGGATCCGGTTCCGGCTCCGTGAGCGGATCCCGCGGGAAGGTGACCCCCGATCCGTGCCGGATCCCGGGGACCGGGGACGAAGGGGATCCCGGGATTCTTGGAGCCGGGGCGCTGGGTGGCGCCGGTGGGGCGGGATCCCGCCTGAGATCCCGAGCTGCTTCCTTGGGATCCACCCCGGGATCCCCCACAGGATCCCGATCCACCCCGGGAGCCCGATCCGCTCGAAGATCCCAGTTTTCCGGATCCGCTTTGGGATGGGGGTCTCACCGAGGCTGATCCCGTTCCGGAGGATCCCGATCCAGGTTTTCCCGTTCCGGATCCACTCCCTTGGGATCCCGGTTTTCCGGATCCACTTCCCCCTTGGGATCCTGGTTTTCCCGATCCGGATCCGCTTTGGGATCCTGGTTTTCCCGATCCGGATCCGCTTTGGGATGTGGGTTTCACGGATGCCGATCCGGTCCCGGATGATCCCGATCCACTCCCTTGGGATCCAGGTTTTCCAGTAGATCCCGGTTTTCCCGATCCGGATCCGCTTTGGGATGTGGGTCTCACAGACGCTGATCCAGTCCCGGATGATCCCGATCCGGATCCGTGTCCTCCTTGGGATCCCGGTTTTCCCGATCCACTTCCCCCAGGAGATCCCGGTTTTCCGGGGGATCCCGGTTTTCCTGATCCGGATCCGCTCCCCCCAGGAGATCCCGGTTTTCCAGCGCCGGATTCCCGTTGGGTTTCTCTTTCCTCCTGAGCGCTGGGTCTCCCGGTTCCGGATGCGCCTCCGTGGGATCCGAATCCGTAGGATCCATGGGGACCGCCGGATCCCGGGGAGATGAAGGATCCCGATCCGTCGCCGTGGGTGACGGGCCGGCTCCCGTAGGATCCGAAGTGACCTCCGGGAGATCCCGGCGACACGAACGATCCCGAATGATTTTCCCCCATTTGGGATGATCCCGATCCGCCGGGTGATCCCGATGATCCCGACGATCCTGGTCCACTCCGGGAAGATTCCGAAGGTCCGAAATATTTCGGAGGGCCGCCGGATCCCGGGGAGATGAAGGATCCTGAGCCGTCTCCGTAGGATCCCGGGCGGCTCCCGTAGGATCCTTCCTTCCCTCCGGCCGATCCCGGCGACACGAAGGATCCCGAATGGTTTTCCCCCATTTGGGATGAGCCGGATCCGCCGGGAGATCCCGAGCTGCTCCCGTAGGATCCCGAATTCCCGACGGATCCCGATCTGCCTCCGTAGGGTCCAGGTCCACGGCTGGGAGATCCCGAATTTCTGAAGGATCCCGATCCAGGTCCATAGGGTCCAAATATCCCTCCGTAGGGTCCGGATCCGGGTCCGTGGGATCCCAGATTTCCGAAGGATCCCGATCCGGGTCCATAGGATCCGGATCCACCAACATAAGGTCCGGATCCACCACCGTAAGGTCCGGGTCCAGGTCCGTAGGATCCGGGTCCACGTCCAAAGGATCCCGAACTTCCGAAGGATCCCGGTCCAGCTCCGTAGGATCCTAAATTCCCAGAGGATCCTGATCCAGGTCCGTAGGATCCGGATCCAGGTCCGTAGGGTCCGGATCCGCCGCCGTAAGGTCCGGATCCAGGTCCGTAGGATCCTGATCCGGTTCCGTAAGATCCCAAATTCCCGGAGGATCCTGATCCGCGTCCGTAGAATCCCGAATTCCCGGAGGATCCGGTTCCGTAAGATCCCAGATTCCCGGAGGATCCCGATCCGGTTCCGGAGGATCCTGGGGCTCTGGCCCCGCCCTCGTAAGCCCCGCCCCCGGCCCCGCCCAGCTGGGGGCTGAGGAATCCCAGCGGATCCTTGCAGGGATCTACCCCGGCCACCAGGGGCTGCAGGCGGATCTCACAGCGCCCCCTGGAGCCTGGGAGGTCAGAGGATCCCAGTTTGTCCCAGTACAAACCGGTAACCTCCCAGTAAGCTCCTGTCTCCGTCCCGTCCATCCCAGTCCATCCCAGTTCTTCCCAGTCCCTCCCAATCCATCCCAGTCCCCCCTAGTTGCTCCCAGTTCCCATCCCAGTCCATCCCAGTAACCTCCCAGTCAATCATCCCAGTAACATCCCAGTAACCTCCCAGTAATCTCCCGTCTCAGTCCCATCCGTCCCAGTTCCTCCCAGTTCCCATCCCAGTTCATTCCATCTCCATCCCAGTCCCTCCCAATCCATCCCAGTCGCTCCCAGTCCATCCCAGTTCATCCCAGTCCATCCCAGTAACCTCCCCTCACCCTCCAGTTTAACCCAGTTTCTCCCAGTTCCCATCCCAGTCCATTCTGTCTCCATCCCAGTCCCTCCCAGTCCCTCCCAGTCCCCTCCCAGTACATCCCAGTCTATCCCAGTCCCCCTCCCAGTGCCTCCCAGTATATCCCA